AATACCACTGATTACGTAAAATTAAACCGAGCTAGTTATAGCATAAATATCTAATTCTCTTACAAGCTCATTAGGTCACTTTATGTTGAAAGAAATTAAATAGAACACTAGACATAATAAGAACTCTCCTTCATAAGCTACAACTGTAAAATCGTTAAGCTACATATTTAAACAAAATAATTTAATGAAATAAACAGAGACGCAACTAGGGCGGCAGCTCTCCCTAGCAACTAAAAGGGGGCACACCCCCCTGCAGAATGTAAAAAAAGAATGGCGAATATGAAAATATTAAGAAAAAAGAACACTAATAATTTTAATTTTTATAGAAATTCTGACTATTTTCTCCTTTTCAATTTCAATTTATTTATTTTCTGTCAAAAAATAAATAACATGTTACTTGTTATGGGTATAACAAAACATGACATTTAAGCTGATACTCTCGGTCTCACAGGACTTTGCAGGCTACACAATAAGTAAAGAGGTATAGCCCCTCTATATATAAAGTGGACAAAAAGGACTACATATAGTGGATGAATAACAAAAATTGATACTGACTATAATAATGGACTTTATATACTCAATACTCATTGTGATTTGTAAATATAATTAAACCTGAGCCTAACTGACGCTAAGAAACAGATAAAAAGATATTCTTTTAAAATGGGGAAAATAAGACACTAAAACTCAGAAGAACAGACAATTTGATTTGCGCTTCGTGCACACATTCAAAGAAATGTAAAACTGATTGTTTTCAGGAAGAATGAATTTATTAAAATTTCTTATTATTCTATGCGAATAGTATATGACATGAAATGGGTTATTTAAAAAAAAATATAACATGAAATAATTTCAAAATTGAAGAGCAAAATATCGATTAGAATAATTAATTAGAGAATAATTACAATAATAATAGATTTCTTTGAAATGTCTAGTTACCAGGTGCGCAACTAAGGGGGGGGAAAGCCCCATCCTTAAGAAGGCTGGCCCCCACTGGCCCTGTTGGGGGGCCGGGGTATGAAGTCGTTATCAGGAGTCCATATAGTTCCAAGAAGTTCCAACAAAAAAATAACCCTTAGTTTAAAAACAAAATGCTCATTTATATATTTTAAATGCTAGTAGATAAAAAATTTTACCCCAAAATAAAGATTTAAGATTTCCCATACACAAAATTGCCCATACTGAAAATGCCCCCCAAAAATAAAATTTTCCTGAAAAACGAAGATTTAAGATTTCCCCCCACTGAAAACATTGCCACCAAAAAAAAATTTGCCCCTGAAATATAGTTTAAGATTTTTCCCAAACTGAATGAATGCCCCCAAATATTAAAATTTTCCCCAAAAATTTCCTGCATTGGTAATGTAGTTTTTTATGGTTAATACACATTTTTCTTGCCTTCCCCCTCCTATAAATGTATTGGGGTGGGGGTGGGGGAATAAATTTCCACTACGCGCGAAATATTTGCCCTTTGCCATATATTGCTGAATACCTAGATGCGCGCCAGGAAATAAAAATCGAATACTGAAAAATTATTTAGATTTACTTTTCCAATAATCAAATTCACTTTGAACTCTTGACAATGCTTCAAGATACATATTCTTGTTCTCTTCAGCAGTTATATAATCTTCGTCTTTATAGATATATTCGACAGAAAATTTATGGGTTTGGAATTTTTTCGTTTAATTCATTTTCGGAATCCTCTCCCTGATTAACACAATTTAATACTTACACTTAATTTCAATTTACACAGCTGGACCATATTCGGAAATATATCGGGAAATCCGGATCCGGCTATATTTAAACTTTTTTAACCTAAATTTATGCGGCTATTTAGTCAATATTTTTGTCTGAAAAAAGGGTCGTTCTCTAAAATACTTAACAATCCCTTTAAACTCAACATTAACAAGGTGAACGATCCCTTTCAACAGAATCTCCTACCAGAGATTTACTTTTTTCAATTCTACTATAGGGTGTCCCACGAAACAAAACAGTTGGTAAGTAGTTTTAAATGTCGTCTTCTAAACTATTCACCAACTGTCTTGTTTTGTGGGGCACCCTGAATATCTGACATAAAAACTGTACGGTAAATTCATTTATAATATTATCATTAATAATAATTTTAAAACATATATTTCTTCCAACAAAAACATGTTACAAAATATGTTTTATATTATATTTTCAATATTTAATATTTAACATAAACACCAAAAAGGTTGAGATTACATTTAAATACAAATATAGTTAAAAATAAAATTGCAAGCATATTGGTTGTTTTTAGAACTTAGCAGATCTAAGTAAACATGGCAATCTATCTATCTATCTATCTATCTATCTATCTATCTGTCTGTCTATCTATCTATCTATCTACAAAAGGAAACCATAGGATGAGTAAGGAGAGATCAGTGTGAGATTAAATCAGAATTTTGACAAAGGTTTAGTTTGACCAAGACAGGACAAATAGTCCTTCTATTCAATCCTTAATATGAACATACTATTCCTACGGAGGGGGGAGAGGGGGGGGGGATATTCATTCCCCAGTTAGACGGACACCAGGGAGATATTCATTCCCCAGTAAGAGGGACACCAGGTAGATATTCATTCCCCAGTTAGAGAGACACCAGGGAGATATTCATTCCCCAGTAAGAGGGACACCAGGGAGTTATTCATTCCCCAGTTAGAGGGACACCAGGGATATATTCATTCCCCAGTTAGAGGGACACCAGGGAGATATTCATTCCCCAGGTAGAGGGACACCAGGGTGATATTCATTCCCCAGTTAGAGGGACACCAGAGAGATATTCATTCCCCAGTTAGAGGAACACCAGGGGGATAATCATTCCCCAGGTAGAGGGACACCAGGGAGATATTCATTCCCCAGTTAGAGGGACACCAGGGAGATATTCATTCCCTAGTTAGAGGGACACCAGGGAGATATTCATTCCCCAGGTAGAGGGACACCAGGGAGATATTCATTCCCCAGGAAGAGGGACACCAGGGAGATATTCATTCCCCAGGTAGAGGGACACCAGGGAGATATTCATTCCCCGAGTTAGAGGGACACCAGGGGGATAATCATTCCCCAGGTAGAGGGACACCAGGGAGATATTTATTTTCCAGTTAGAGGGACACCAGGGAGATATTCATTCCCCAGTTAGAGAACACTAGGGAGATATTCATTTCCTAGTTAGAGGGACACCAGGGATATTTTCATTCCCCAGTTAGAGGGACACCAGGGAGATATTCATTCCCCAGATAGAGGGACACCAGGGAGATATGCATTCCTCAGTAAGAGGGACACCAGGGAGATATTCATTCCCCAGTAAGAGGGACACCAGGGAGATATTCATTCCCCAGTTAGATAAATAAATATAAAGTTGTAATATCTGTTTGAGGGTTTGTTTGTTTGTCTATTCATAACTCAGAAACCCAATGACCGATTTGCCTCAAATTTTGATTGGGGGAACTCGGAAGAACCATCGGAATGGTTAAAAATTCTAAGTAGGTTGACTTTTATAGAGAAAGTTAAGCTTACAGACAAAGCTCATGGTTCCCTAGCTAGCATCTACATAAAACAAAACCAAATTGAATTGCATGTAATATGTATACACTACTAGATGAAATTTATGTAGCCCTTCTTTAAATTTGGTGGTTTAATGCTAGCTTGGGAAACCTGCTATGCCTGGAAATGAATTCTACCGAGTTTATACCCCATTAACATTTGGAGCAAATCGGTTTAAGTGTTCCTGGGTTATGTACAGGAATTACTAACATCCTAATGTATAAATAGAAGATAGTTGTTTTGTTAATATTTTCTTATATTTCTTCAAATTTGTTATTTTATTACATACTAGCTTGGGAACCCAGCGCTGCCCAGGTTACTAAAATTTACTAACCACCGTTTACCCGCACTTGAACAATTTTACCGGGAATCTAAATTTTCGCTATTAAAGTCGACCAAATCTTGACTTAAAATCACAAACCCAAGCTAAAAACATTCCCGTGGGTCTCCCGAGTTCTAATCGGTCCAGGGGTTCCTCAGATATCGGACAAACAAACAAACAGACAGACAAACAGAGATTGCAACTTAATATTAAGATTTTAGTTTAAATACCGTGACTAACATTTTCTATTTGTAAAATCCTTCAGTTTGATAATAAGCATAAATATAGAAATTCTAAACTAGAACTCGTTCCGACATAACAATAATTTTTAACTGTGTTAAAAAAATAAGCAACGTATATATTTAAAAACTTGTCTTAAAGAGACTGTTCACGTAGTTTCAAATGGCATTTTATTGTAAAAAAAGAGAGGCACGCCCGATGTATCTTTAAAACCTTTGTCTGACTGAAAATATTGAAAATATCCTTGATTTTCTTTCTAAAAATTGATAAAAGCTCTATAATAGTTTATGATGGAAAAAAGACGAAACCGCTTATCAGATAAAGGTTTAATAGTAACTTACAAACGGAGGGTCATTGTAAAATAAAATATATATTATTTTACAACCTCCTTGGAATCGTCTATTTGTGAAAGTAATAAAGTGAATGATAAATTCCAGAAATTAACCAAGAGCAATTTAAGGTAGTATAATTGATAAAGGAAAGGAAGATACAAAGAAACAGTAAAAGAGGAAAGCATTTGAGAAAATATTTATATAACGTGGCAAATTCCAGGAAGTATTCAAAAATCATTGTATATTCAGGAAGAATCAAAGAAATTATTGTAAAGGGAAAATGAGAGACCACGAGAAGCAAGAAATCATCTTTAAACCGAGGTTCCGTGTTCGGAAAAGTGTGTGTTCCTTGCTAACACTATGGATGTTGCATGAGAACAATTCATTCATTTTAAACAAAAATGGTTGTCTTGTTATTGATGCACTTAAACAATTATGCTTTAAGGTATAGTAGAGCAGAAAACAGGTTTTATAAAACTTGTTGATGGCGAGGATGAGTGTTGAGGAGGAGGTGAGAAAGAGTGCAGTTTTGGCAAATGTGCATCTTTACTCGGTATAAAGGTCCGACCGCGCGGGAATCTTCTCAATTGAGTTTAACCATGCATTCCAGCACCATCTATTCAGCAATCCTTCTTGGTATGCATCAACAAACTTAATATATAGTGTACAATTTAGATTAAATTACATCAACTTGAACATGTGGTAAGGGAGCAGTAAAAAAAATGATCATATATCTGAACTGTTATAAAATATATTTTTGTTCCATGGAAATTTTTGTGAATCATTTTAAAGCAGTTTTACCATTGTTTAAGCTTCCATATTTATGAATATGATCATCAAATTGTTAATTATTGATGTTTAAGGTTTGAGCTTAACAACTACTGTTGAAGCCCAGAGACGAGGTGGAAGGCGTCCCCAGACTCCAAGGAGAGGTAGACAGGAAGGTGCTGCTGCAGGCTATGCTGCCCCTAGTGATGTACCAGTATATGGAGCTGCTAGTGATGCTGTCCCTGTCTATGATGCTGCAGCTGGAGATGATGCTCTCTCTGCCCTAACCAGTAATATCCCCGGTGTACCTGGAGAAGATTACCCAATCTACGCTGAAGTTCCTGAGACCAGTTTCACCTGTGATGGTCAAGTTGACGGTGGTTATTATGCTGACCCTGAAGCTGAATGTCAGGCTTTCCATATTTGCACTGCTGACGGCCAAGGTGGACTTGCCAAGTACAGTTTCCTCTGCCCCAACGGAACAATTCTCAACCAGAACTACTTCATCTGTGATTGGTGGTTTAACTTCGACTGCTCCGAAGCTGAAGCTCTTGCTGCTGAAAAGAATGCTGAACTTGCTGCTGCTAGAGAGGAAGCATCTGCTTCTTCAGATCAAGCTGCTTATTCCTCACCTCTTGATGATGCTTACACTGCCGGAGCTGCTGGAGGGCTTGCAGCTTATGAAGCTGCTGAAAGAGCAGCCAGAAAGCTTGGATCCGGAAGGAACAACCGAAGACAAGGAGGAAACAGGTCCGGAAACCGCGGTTAATTCTGCTGCCGGTGAAACTGAAGAAGAATACCTGCTGAACCCTATTATGGTCTAGTCATTCAACATTATTATTTATCTATTTATTATTCCATTTATATTAAACCCCGTAAATAAAATATTGCCCACATTCAATATGCTCACTCAACCTCGTAACTTGTTTAGAATCACGAAACCTCAAACAGTTAAATGCCATTTATATCTTTTAAAAACAATGGATAAAATTACATGTTAATATGGGGGCATTCCTTCACAATTAACAGATATACAGCCTACAGTGCAGGGGCTGATACAGGATTTAAGTGAGGAAGGGGGGGGGCAAGATTTTTTAGGAACCAAAAAAAAATAATAATTAGGAACAAAAAATCGTGCCGCAGGCAAAAAATTTTTTTGACTTAAAAGACTCAAAAAGAGTCAAAATTAATCCCTAAAGACTAAAAAACTAGATTTTTAACTTCTAGGAACAAAATTAAAGGATTAGAACAGGAATTTAGAAACAATTAAAAGATTGTTCAGGAATTAGGAACAAAAATAAAGGATTAGGACAGGAATTTAGGAACAATTAAAAAATTGTTCAGGAATTAGGAACAAAATAAAAGGATTCGGACAGGGATTTAGGAACAATAAAAAGATTGTTCAGGAATTAGGAACAAAATTATTGGATTAGGACAGGGATTTAGGAACAATAAAAAGATTGTTCAGGAATTAGGAACAAAAATATAGGAGTAGGACAGGGATTTAAGGTGGGTCGGGCACAGTATTAGGAACAGGAACAATAATAGGAACATTAGCAATTTAAGAACAAAAAGAAATTACTAGTTATACTTAAATGCATGAAAATTAGGAACAATATTACAATTTTGATAAATGAGTATTCATTAAGTAACATTAATAGATATGAACAATATTATAACTTAAGTCTACTTTCTTACAAATTTCTAATTCTAAATTTATCGTTAACAATAACATTTTCTTGTTGTCGTTGATTTTTAAATTAAACTGAGTTGAAAAGAAAGTCAAGATTTCCATTAAATAAAAAATCAAATAGCTTGAAATTGAAAAACACATACGATTTATCAAATTGGGAACATTTTTTGCCTCGAAATCTCAGGGGTAGCCCCTCCCTGAATCTGTCAGGGGGGGCGAATGTTCCCCGCCCCCCCCTGTATCCGCCCCTGCTACAGTGTGTTCCAGTAAACATGATAATTTCTAGAAACTCTTGAGACTCACATGTTATCATCTTGAATTATTTATTCATCTCTAACTCAAATATTACAAGCATTATTCTATCATGAAATTCCCTTGGTCCAGGAATTTCCAAAATGTGGTCTGTCATCTTTTTAATAGTTTCAAAAGCGAAGGAACACAATGGGTTTCGTTCAGAATAAAATGTTTAGTTAAGATCAAAATCGATTAAACGACCAATATCATTGCAATTTTTAGAATACATAAAGTTTAGAACATTTAGAGTACATTTCGTGCTTCCTTTTTTTTTGATACACACTGTCATTAGGTAGTTAAAAGACGAGCTTCAAGTTGTCCCTCAAATCTCATATGCACTACTAGCTTAGGAACCCAGCTTTGCCAGGAAAATAAATTTTCCTCATGAAAGCCAACCCACTCAACTATGATTTTTTGGACGAAACGACGAAGAACATTCCCGCGGCTCTACGGAGTTCCCCCAATCAAAATTTGAGGCAAATCGGTTACGGGGTGCATGAGTCAAGATCTAATTTCCAATATATCATCTGTCCTACAAATCAACTGTCATACATATGAATTGTTGTACATATCCTACATATCAACTGTCATACATATGAATTGTTGTACATATCAACTGTCCTACATATCCTTTGACATAAAAATAAATTTTTTCTGCATATCATCTATCCTACATATCAACTGTCCTACACGCAATTAAACTAAGTAGCACTGTTCTTCATTTCAAGTGTTCTATCAGTCCTGAAAATTATGTGACCTACTTATCATCTGTCCTACATATCAATTGTTCTGTACTTATTAGTTGTCCTAGAGAGAGTAGTAATCTTTGTTTGTTTGTTTGTATACATGATCACAGCGCATAAATCTTTTAACCGATTTGCCTCAAATTTAGATTATGGAACTCGGTAGAACCAAAGGAATTTTCTTTGTATGGTTATCAAAATTTTAGCCGAGTGGGCTTACCGTTGTGAGAAAACTCCAGGCAAAGCTGAGTTCCCAAGCTAGCATACAGATAGTGATCAAGGTTGATTCAATCCGATAATAGCCCCTTTCATTGTTCGCGAACACTCCCTTTAAAGCGTAAACATCTGATGATGCTTTAAAGACAGTGTTCCTTCAAAGAGGAACAATCGATAATTAAAGAAATTCACAATTCTTAACAGAATTAGTGCAAGATGGGGTTTCTTAACAATTAAAATTACTTCAAATCTTTTATTAGGATAATAATAATTAGTATAGGTCCCATGACTCCTCAATTTGATTTTGATACATCAAACTCACGTGGAACACGTACAGGCTCTATTGGAATAAGCTTTGTTTTCGGTTTTCATGTGACGCTAATGTTTAAAACATTGTGATCAACAAAAGTAAAACTTTAAATTTTATGAATGAAAAAAGAGAGAATGCTAACTAAGTACTAAATCAAGGACTAGATTTACTCTTCAGCTGAGGAGAAGTGGTCCATTTTCAGCTACTTGTTTAATCCTGTTCTCCAGGCATTAATTAAACTTGGTCTCTGGTTATATAAACCAGTTTGTCCTCTACCCCTTTACATATTCACGTACAAATCCTTTAATAGGACAGTTAGCGTAATTTCAATAGGCCCTTAAGGACAATTCGCAATTCACAACGGTGCCCTTGAAACCTTTATCTTATCAATAATCTGGAAGATATGGTCGTTCTTCGAGGCTTAAAATTTTTTAATTCTAAAAATAATAATGTATTTCCTGCAGTATAATTGCGCAAGTCACTTTTAGGGAATCCACATTTGAAAATAATTAGTTTTCAAAATTACTAACATTGATATCTAATTCATACTTGATCAGACAAAGCTTTTAATGGTACCGTTGAGAACCGAGTAGCATTCATTGATGGATCACATGAAATTACGCTTACAGTCCGTTTAAGGAGTGATAGTCTGAAACCAGGATATATATTTACATTTGTTTAATAGGATCTGAATTCTAGGTTTTGCTGAGCTGTAGCTTTGACTAGAACTAGAACCATACATTAATTCTTTTCATCTTCTGCTCATACTGTCATGCAATACTATCATCCGTACACCCTTACTCATTTACTCATCCATACACCCTCACTTATTTACTCATCCATACACACTTACTCATTTACTCATCTATACATCCTTACTCATTCACTCATCCATACACCTTTACTCATCCTCTCATCCATACACCCTTACTCATTTACTCATCTATGCATCCTTACTCATTTACTCATCCATACACCCTCACTCATTCACTCATCCATACACCTTTACTCATCCTCTCATCCATACACCCTTACTCATTTACTCATCCATACACCCTTACTTATTTACTCATCCATACACCCTCACTCATTTACTCATCCATACATTCTTACTCATTTACTCATCCATACACCCTTACTCATTTACTCATCCATACATCCTTACTTATTTACTCATCCATACACCCTTACTCATTCACTCATCCATACACCCTTACTCATTTACTCATCCAAACACCCTTACTCATTCACTCATCCACCCTCACTCATTTACTCATCCATACACCCTTACTCATTACTCATCCATACATCCTTACTCATTTACTAATCCATACACCCTTACTCATTTACTCATCCATACACCCTTACTCATTTAGCTCATCCATGCATCCTTACTCATTTACTAATCCATACACCCTTACTCATTTACTCATCCTTACACCCTTACTCATTTACTCATCCATACATTCTTACTCATTTACTAATCCATACAACCTCACTCATTTACTCATCCATACACCCTCACTCATTCACTTATCCATACACCCTTACTCATTTACCCATCCAAACACCCTTACTCATTCACTCATCCATAAACCCTCACTCATTTACTCATTCATACACTTTTACTCATTTACTCATCCATACATCCCTACACTCCATTCCTGATCCTGAATTACTATATATTCACTCCATTCCTGTATTCCCGATTACTGTACATTATATAAATTCCATTCCTGTATTCCCAATTACTATTCATATACTCCATTCCTGTGTTCCCAATTTCTATTTATGGAATCCGTTCCTGTATTCCCAATTACTATTCATACACTCCCTTCCTGTATTCCCAATTACTATATATTAATTTAATTTAATTTAATTTACTTATTATTTACTTCATTCCTGTATTCTCAATTACTATTTATAAAATCCATTTGTGTATTTCAAATCACTGTTTATAAACTCCATTCCTGGATTCCTAATTACTATACAATCTATTCTTGTATTCCCAATTACTATTTATACACTCCATTCCTGGATTCCTAATTACTATACAATCTATTCCTACTTTCCCAATTACTATCTATACACTCCATTTCTGTATTTCTAATTACTATATAATCTATTCCTATATTCCCAATTACTATTTATAAACTCCATTCCTGTATTCATAATTACTATACAATCTATTCCTATATTCCCAATTACTATTTATAAACTCCATTCCTGTATTCCTAATTACTATACAATCTATTCCTGTATTCCCAATTACTATTTATACCCTCCATTTCTGTATTTCTAATTACTATACAATCTATTTCTGTATTCCCAATTACTATTTATAAACTCCATTCCAGTATTCCTAATTACTATACAATCTATTCCTGTATTTCCAATTACTATTTATACACTCCATTCCTATATTCCTAATTACTATACAATCTATTCCTGTATTCCCAATAACTATTTATAAACTCCATTCCAGTATTCCTAATTACTATACAATCTATTCCTGTATTCCCAGTTACTCATTATAAACTCCCTTCTTGTATTCACTCAATAATTATACAATTTCTGTATCGCCTTACATCTGTGTCAGTAGACATGGAGAGAGATATAAGCTTAGGTCAGCAACTTTTATTCTAAAGATGGGTCAACTCGATCTCTCTAGTTTGTGTTGAACACTTAACACATGTGCAACATATGCAGTCGGTTACTGCAATTCTAGATCTTAACATATTTTTCATTGTTTACTAAAGAAAAGTTTTTTTTGGCCTTTCGCAGAGCTAAAATAGGTTTGACAATTTAAAACGAGTCCGCACAAAAAAATGGAAATGGTTTAAAATAAAAATAAAAAAACATGTATAATGCATGAATAGAAAGTTATTACTTTCAATGTAAATCTATTTTTTATAATCTTGTAAACGGCTTTCAAAGCAGGCTCATATAAAGATAAGGTTTAAGGCTTATCGCAATTGAAAAATTTTGCTTTGGAAAAAATACTGACAATTACGGTTATAGAAAATTCACTGATTTAATCAGAAAAATTTGTAAGTCTAGTGTAATTGAATGTGTTTTTCATGTCACTTACTGTTTTATATATATTTACATATTCATTTTGATGGTAAGATGTGTGTGCCATCTATTAATACAAAAAATAAAGATCGTTGCAAAACTATTTTTCATCTATAGATTTTATAGTGAAAATATTTAAAATTTGCATATAGTATTCATTTGGCGGAACATATTCATATTCTTATATTTGCAGTTTATAACGACGTAAACATTTAGTGTTTGCAAATTTCGGCAGTACATTTCATATTTCTGATGAAATTTTACAGATATACAGGGTAGCCCACAAATGATAAGACTGTAAGGACGACAAAAACTCATCCAATCCAACGATTTAAATTTTTTAAATCTTAAATGAGACGTTATGGGTTATTTAATGATTTGGCAAAGAAAAAAGAAGTTTTTAGTTGCAGGGAATCATAAATATAAGGAACCTAATCTCTCATCTGTTGTGGGTAACCCTGTATAACAGAACGAGCTAAACTCTCATCTGTTGTAGGTGTCTATCTAATCTTAATCCATTTAATACAACAGTTCCACTATCAGTTCAGAAATTTATCCATCTAACTTTAATCCATTTAATTTAATAGTTCCACTATCAGTTAAGAAATTAATCTATCTAACCTTAATCCATTTAATTCAATAGTTACACTATCAGTTAAGAAATTTATCTATCTAATCTTAATCCATTTAATTCAATAGTTACACTATTAGTTTAGAAATTTATCCATCTAACCTTAATCCATTTAATTCAATAGTTACACTATTAGTTTAAAAATTTATCTATCTAACCTAAATCCATTTAATTCAATAGTTACACTATTAGTTTAGAAATTTATCCATCTAACCTTAATCCATTCAATTCAATAGTTACATTATCAGTTAAGATATGAATCTATCTAATCTTAATCCATTTTATTCGATAGTTACACTATTAGTTTAGAAATTTATCCATCTAAACTTAATCCATTTAATTCAATAGTTACACTATTAGTTTAGAAATTTATCCATCTAACCTTAATCCATTTAATTCAATAGTTACACTTTTAGTTTATAAATTTATCCATCTAACCTTAATCCATCTAATTCAATAGATACACTATTAGTTTAGAAATTTATCCATCTAACCTTAATCCATTTAATTCAATAGTTAAACTATCAGTTAAGAAATGAATCTATCTAATCTTAATCCATTTTATTCAATAGTTCCACTATTAGTCAAGCTGAATTGCAAATAAGAAAAATAAAGTAAATTGCATTTAAAAGATTAAAAACTATTATGTTTTCAATCATATTTCACCTATTGAAGAGCTATTGAGAAGAACAAAAATGTTTTGAATTTCACAAAAAATGATTTTTTCATTTAAGGAAATCAAATCTAGAGGAGCTAGATGGCGTAAAGTCGTACTAGTGATGATAATTTCAATTTATTAATTTTTCTCATATTTTCCCGCGTACAATTTTGTACAGAACAGAACAGTACAGTACAGTACAGTACAGTACAGTAAAATAGAGTTAGTACATGTGCATTGTGCATACAGTTTTCTTGATTTTTAGAGAAATTTCAACAAAAATGGAGGATAAGCTTTGTTTCTTCTGTCACTGTGTTCCAGATGGTCTATGTGAGTGTGGGCTAGCGTACTGCAATTTACACAAACAAATACATAAACCAGGAGACTATTGTTTTCCATTCAAGGTAAGTTATCCAAGAAAGAATACAATAAACGTACCGGCGCGGCACGACCTCATAGCGACACATAAAATTGTACAGTACTAATTTTTTCTTTTACCTGTTTGCCCATATAAATCTTCCTCTTTAAAGTTTATGTATAATACATGCGACGGTTTGGATAGACCTTTGATTTAAAATAAAGTAAAAAAAACAGTGAAAAAATACCAAAAAATGTTCGTATAGCATAGCAATTAAAACTAAATCTTGTTCATATTGAATTTTAAGAAAGCAGAATAAGAAATGTGCGTTTAACAAAGTTTAAGGTCAAAAGTTGAATTTCTAATAAATATAAAAATGATCTCGAAGGTGTCTGAAAGGGAAGGAGTAGGACGATTTCTTGTTGCAACTAGAGATATTCGTCCACTTGAACTCGTCCTTTGGGATAAGGTATAGCAGATATAATTATTTTCCATCTTTAAAGAGACTGTTGACGTAATTTCAAGCAACCTTCCCTTTGTAAAGTTTCATGAAATATTTAATTAGTAAACTTGAGCCGGAAACTCTTGTATTGTGGATATCGAGATCAATGCTTGATCTCCTCTTTTTGTTGATCTGCAGATTAATTTAATTAATGTCTAAAATTTCAACAATCAGAGTGCCGTTTGCAGAAACAGAACAGCCAATCAGAAGCGGGTAACTTTGCGCACAAACAATTTACAAACTTTCCCATACTCTCATTGGATTAATTAGAAAAAAATGTCCTCAGTGAATATTGAGATTCGGCAATCATGGTAAAGGGTATTCAATACGAAGGTTCCCTGCTCTGTACATAAAGTTATCTCTATTCCAGGCAGCTGTTGTTGGTCCTGGCCCGGAAACATTACCAGTGTGTGTACAGTGCTTAGGAATCCATTACAATTGTACTACTCCTTTTTTTGCAGAGTTCTTCATTTTCAAAAATGTCTTATACTATCTCTAGTAAAAATACTAAAATAACATATAATAAAATGTAGATTTTTTAAAAACATGTTTTTTTTCTGCTAGTTTTGTTTGAGCTCCTATGGGGGGGGGGCGCTAAACATTTTTTGGCCACCCCCTAGATTTATTTCTGTATACGCCCTTGATTTCTTTTTTTTGTAATACACTGTTGTCTAAACTGTGTGTCATCTATTCAGTTGGGCAAATTTCATTATGTCGCCATGCCTTAATTTTACATTGCTGAAAATCGTTCCTTTAAACTCTCAACTTTGTGTTGGATATTGTTAGATCAAAGTGAACATACAAACTTTATATTTTTTATAACATTCTATTTCTATCTGTAGTCATTTAAACTTTTTATTCTTTTGATTTTTGGTATATAACTGTCTGGATTTTCTTAGTCCGGTTAACCCCTGACCATGTTCTCTGCTCTTCCTGTAATTTACCCCTTTGCGGGTAAGTAGCAAATAAGCATTTCTCAGTCAGGAGAAATTATTGAGCATTGCTAGATTTCTTCTTTGAAGAACATTTGCCATGTTTTAATAATTCAATTTTAAAATCAACATTTATTGTTTTGGATTCCTTGTTTTTTTTGTTCACAAAAAAATTCTTTAAAAATGTTCACTTTTTAAAACATTTTTAAATTTATTTTAGGGCAGAATGTATGAATAAGAAAGAACATAATGATGAGTGTCAGATCTTCAGTAAGGCACTCATCATTAATATTGGATATC